ATTTTCGACTTACATTTTCAAAATTATTAATGTTTTAATCATAAACCATAATCAAATCGATTAAAAAATCAAATTTGAATTTGAATTTTGAATTTAAAATTTGAATTTGAAGCCAAATCTTTGAAACGGTGGCTCGGTGTTTTACCGAAACATTGTTGCCCAACCGTGGGATATAGATAGGCGTTTGCATAAGAGAAAGGCACGATTATGCAAATACCTTATATATTGTATATAGATGGCTAGAAATTACGCATTCGTTCAAAATCAGAGCTTCTCAAAGTGTGAAACGCGAATCCTGTATTCATCAACTAATTAAAGCTGGTTTGCGACGAGCTTTTGCTTATTAATAATATAATATATTTTATATATCATACTTTATTAGGACGATTTAAAATTTAAAACGAACAGACCGACCAATAAAACTAAATACATTTATTTGGTATCTAGTAGTGGTAATATTTCTAGAAATAAGAAAATATAATTTTAGTTTTAACTAGCGACTTACCCTCTCTACTTCGAGTGCCTCTCTAGTTACGTTTTAAGCAAATGAATTTGCTTAAAACGTTTAATTATTTTTTTTTGCCCGGAATCCTAATTAATTTTCTAAAATAAAAAAAACCTTAATCACTCCGTATGACATCAGCTATACACCAGTGAAAGTCCCCTCAAAATCTGTTCAGCCGAACCAAACATGCAGACAGACGGGTATAAACTTTAAAAAAGTGTTTTTTACCTCTAAGTACCGTACATACTTTCATTTGCATTTAGTAAGAAGCTGTTATTTTGACATTACAAACATACACTCCAATTTTATTTATTTGTAGTATAGATAAGCACATGTTGGGCTATAAGTTTGAGAGTCACTGCTCTAAATGGACTGGTATTGAGATAAACAACTCCAATGACCTGAAAACGTGAATAAATTGTAAACGAGTACGGTTTATACAAAAAGTTGTTTGAGATATGTGATTAATTGTTTTTTGATTTTGGTTAGAATGTTTTTAATCTTTAATAGAAATGGATGTTGTGTCAAGGGTAGTGGATTCGGTGCCGGTAAAAGTAGCTTTAATTTTATACTGTCAGGTTGTTTTAAGTGCATCCTGAAGTTTTGATATTATATTATGTAAATATTTCAGTAATCACTAAATATGTATAACTTTTAAAATGTCAATTTTTTTAATTTTGAAAAAAAGCAATTATTTTCAAGAAAAAGCGCCTATACTGATTTTAATGACTAAACTACTCTTCTACTTTTGGTGATAGTTTTTTTTCTTAATTTGAGTCTATTCTTGAGATATATGTATATTGTATATACGACGAGAAAAATTATTTTATTTATTTATTTACTAAGAAGATCATTTGATGATGAGATAAGATAAATATTTGAAATAAAGAATAATTAATCACACATTAACAATTGGACTATATACCGCATAATGCAGATGCGGATTTACATATTTTCCAAGTATAGGCTGTTAAATATTATCCGCACTGGCCAATGGCTCTCACCTCTATAACTGTGAGTTCTTTGATTATTTTTACAATCCAACAATTTGGGATTGGGATTAGAGGGTAATATACTAACAATATTCTCTTTTACATAGCTAGAGTAGTCTCTTCCATGCGAAAAATTCCGATAAATAATAATAATTTTATACGTGTATGCAAAAAATTTGAAAAAAATAAATTATTCAAAATAAAAAAGCTCTAATTGACTCACAACCTCTTATAATTCTTCAACATACGCAAGAATAAATAAAAACTTCTTCAAAATATGCTTTATCGTAGTTTTAAAGAAAAAAAGGCCGCTAAAGAAATCTATTAAGAAAAACGATTAGCTTTTAATTCTGTATCGTCAAACTAATATCGTTATCGCAATTTAAATAAAAACAAGTGTTATATAACATTTGTGGTATAAGGAGACAGAGCGGTTTTTAGGAGGGTGTTCTTCCACTAGCTGGTTGTTACCGGGACCATGTCTTCAGATATATAACATTTTCAATATTTAAATAATAATAATGACCTTCTGAGAGTTTTCTGTCACGGTGACTATTTGCACTCAGACTAGCCATGAGCACAGGATATAAATATATAGTGTACAAGTACACTCTCTATTTCGAAGTCCAATGGAACGTTACTCTGGTACAACCGGTGAGAGTGCCGGCGCAGGACCGACGGCTTTACGTGCTCTTTGAGACTCGGGGATGAAACACCGCCAACTTTTCTACTCTGGACTGTTACTGAAACTCTCTTAACAGAAAAATTCAATAACTAACTTAGCTCAATCTGGGTCTCGAACTCAGGACCTCCAGATCTGCGGTCATACATAGTCATACAATGTACAATATAATATTAGGATATATGAATATGGCGGGTAATTTAAGTTAATTGGTTTGAACAAACGTTTATGACTCGGCGACGACTATCAACATCATGCTAGATCCCAGAAAACATTCAAAATTTCTATTATTTACCTTTATTTAAAAAAAAATATTTAAAAAATATAATTTTAGTCCCACTAAGTTACTTTCTTTACTGTAACTTTTTCTCAGGACAGAGGCTTTTTCTACCCAAAATCAGTTTTACAATATGTTATAGACTAAGCTAAGGCGACTCACTAATATACATATGCATATATATACATACATAGTATATTAAAAAGTGCTTTAAACTTAACACCCATACACCTGTCATCATGTCTCAAGAGCTGGCCACAGTGTCGCAACGCACAGTGACCACACAAGTAACATTCGAAAAGGCCTCAACCAGTTTGCTTAAGTGCATTTTTAAAAGTCTTACTTCAATTGCAAATTGTTTAAAAAAATTTAGGTAGCTTTATATTCCACGGAATAACTACTTGAAATAGATTTAAATACAAACTCTAACTTCATGACTTTGGATAAACTTCCATACCACGGTATGGCTAATAAATTATATATAATAAAAAGAAATAAACTTAAAAATAAAAACTGACATTGAAAAATAAAATATCCCACCAGCGGGACTCGAATCAGCGAACGATGGCACAGCAAGTAGGATCACTGAGCCAAACGTGTAGTTAATTACTACAGATGCCTAATCAGATATTTTCGAATTCGAAGTCAGTGCCAGCTGACAATCTTTAAGATATACTCGTAACTATCTAATAGGTAATTATGACAAGGTATGAACATTAATTAGTTGTAATTTATTTTATATTTTACTATATTTTATATTAATTTATTACGTGTTGAGATTGTATCGAGTTTTGCGTCGCCTGGCACCAAGTATATGTGTATATAATATGAATGTATAAAAATGTTATGGGACCTACCTAAACAGAATACGAATACGAATACGATCTAAACTAACGGAATTGGTCCAGCCACCTCCGAAAAATCGACGAACGCACAGAAAAAATATATTATAATATATATATGATAATGCTACATATAGACGAATATTGAACCTCCCCCTTTATTAGAAGTCGATTAAAAATCATTTACATCTGATACTTTATTATCTATACTAATATTATAAAGAAGTAAAGTTTGTGAGGTTGTGAGTTTGTGATGTTGTAGGGGGTAATCTCTGGATCTACTGAACCGATTGGTAAGAAGGTAGTTTGAGACCCTGGGAAGGACATAGGACACTTTTTATCTCGGAAAGCATCCCTTAAGGGGGTGAAAATGGGGATGAAAGTTTGTTTTGGGAAGCAATCCAGGGACGAACCCGAGCGAAGCGAGAGTGAGTCGCTAGTTGAATAATAAAGAGAAAAGCACACTCACTTTATTATTAAAGATTATAATTAAGGCTTTATGATATTTAGTAAATACAATAAAAGTTATATGAAAAATAAAAAAAATCTTTTGAGCTAAATGATAAAAACGATAAATAAAAAACTAATGGGCAAAATTTACCGGAAAACACTATTTCACTTTCAATTTTCGACACCGATTGAAAAAAACTTGCAATATTTGACATTATTATTACATATTGTATGTATTAGAAATCTCACTACCATTACAGTTGCATAAAATTACATAAAGATTATCGAAATTATATCGTATAGTTACAAAATAATTGACCATTTAATGTTAATGCATTTTCAAAACTTGTTATTCAAAATGACTACCCAATATACACATTAGTGTAGTGACGTGAATTGCAAGATTAATTTATTATCGATATCGATTACATTTATGACAAATTTGACGTTTAAAAAGCTAATCTGTTGAACAGTTGGGATTTTGTTTGACAGATAACAGATGAATTGCTATTATGTTTAATGTGTTTTCAAATACGCAATTTACTTCATATTATACTACGTGTAACGTGTGTGTACGTGTACGTTAACGTATGAGTTACTTCATATTAAATGTTTCTATATTATAGAACTAAAGATTTTGTTTTTCCATTTATTTCAATGCGATGATTTTCGATAGCAATCCCATAGAAAAACTCTTTTTGTTTTTTATTAGCTATGAATCTTCGAAGAAGAGTAAATCTAATTAATTACTTGGGCGTAGCGTAGCCACAGGAAAACTCAATGCAAACATAAGTAAACATGTGTTTTTTTATATATTTGGCACATAAGATGAGTGCTTAGTTATATATAAACTTTATTTAAACATTTACCAATACTATTGATTATCTGTGTCTATACGTTAATTACTATTATAATAAAATATATAAGATTATTTTATTTAATAACTATATAGAAACATTTCTAACCATAAAATTCTTTTGTTACAGAAAAAATGTGGCCAAGCATAAAATTATGATTTTATGCCATTTCAAGTCATTCCTCATGTGTGAACACAGCTTAAGGAGGTGAGATTATAATAAAAATAGTAATAAAACTTTTATTTTACCTTCTACAAATTCTATCAAAGAGTTTAAATCATTAAAATTAGGTGTTTGATGTATCGATATTTACAGACAAATATATCGATGATCGAGCGTCGTAATCGATACCAAAAGACAATCGAGGTACCTCAGAATTAGGTACCTCAAAACCGATGTCCGAAACTGCTATCAAGACAGAGACGCAAGATAGCGATGGGGTAGTGAAAAGCGAGAAAGAAAACAAGGAGAAAGACGGAAAGCAAAGATCTGTGTCATTTAATAGGGACGTACACGTCAAACGTTTCGGTGAGTCGATAGACTAGTGGTGTCCCCTCGGTTCATTTGTTTGCAATGTTTATTAAATTTTCAGTAATAATAGTAGATTATGTGGATTGAATTATTTTTAAATGTATACGTGCATAGTATTTTTCATTATACAAACCTAAAAACACCTAAAACTAACTAAAGAAAATAACTACATTTGCTTACTGTATAATTAAAATAATGCTTGTCAATATATAATGAACACTTAAATTTTATCAAATCAGTTTTAATCGACGTTATAGCTTAAAATAATATTTTTTGTAATTTATTAGTAATAAGGAAATCATATAAATCACGTTTAAATGACCCAATTCGATACAACACGAAAATGACATTTGACATTTTGTTTTTATTAGTCTATGCACGTCAAAATATAAATAAAATGATTTTATATATTGTATCAAAAAGATTCATCATTATTAAGTTAACATTTGTTTTGCATATACAATATACATAATATAAATAAATTTGTATGTATTTTAATTATAATGCAAAAACATATGTTATACTCGTATATGAAATAAAAATATCGATTCATAAATAAATACTCTCGTAAATAAATATTATTTTTAAAAGAGTAACTTGAGTTTCTTATCGGATGTTAGTTAAACCGCCTCTCGAGCCGGTGGAAGCTTCCTCACGGATTTTCATACTGATATAATATAACTTAAATATAAAAATTGACGATTCAAAAGCAATGTAAATATCTATTTGCATAAAGCCTTTTGATTTGATTTGAAGAAAACATTGCAAATAAATGGATTTATTATGGGATACCAATTAACTGACTAATTTTCATCAACTCACAATATGTAACACTGGGGTCAAAACGTGGCGTCTTCTAATTTGTTACATTTACAATAATTTACAACTAACTGAATGACTAATTGTTTCTGTCTCGTAGTGTGCTTTAAATCTTGTTTTCTGTGGAAGTGGTATCGATGTTTTCTGACACTTGACATCACTACAAGTAAAAAAAATGGTGTCAATATTCTGTGTAATATAAACACATGAAGCATGACCTTTCAACCTTAAAACTTAGAACTTCTATTTTCTTCTAGTGTATAAATATATTCTTACTGGAAGCAATATTTATGTTATACGAAGGTCCTTGTATATTTATATATTATTATTTATATGTTAAACACTAATTTTTGCATATCGAAAATGTAGCCTAAATCATATTACATGGGCTCAGGGATAGTACTATGTAATATTAAATAATTCATTAGAATAATAATAATAATTTATTCAGTAGTTTATACTCCCTGTATTATACTTAAAGAAATGCTCCCTTCATGAGTTCCGAAAATGTCACCTTTAAAGCTTTTAATGCTAAATTTTAACGTCAAAATATATAAAGTATCCCTTAGTAGTTAGAAGTTTTTTGAGTTCTAAACAAAATTACAGACTTCACCGATACCAATATCATTATAAAGATATAACAGCAGAGAAGTCAATCTCTTAGGTTAGCTTGTACGAAGTTTAAGCTTCGGTCGTTAAGTGATTAGCATATACCGCTGAAGATTCGGAGAACCTGTGTTCGAATCTGGTCGGGCCAATTTTATTATTAAGTCTTTCTGTGAAGAAAGCCTCAGTAACAGCCTGGAGCTGGGAGGTTGGTGGTGTCACCTGCGTGCCTCAAAGAGCACGTAAAGCCGTCGGTCCTGCGTATAACCTCGCACTGGTCATGTTGTATTTTCGTTCCATCGGAGTATGAGAGTGACAGGAATAGAGAGTGCACGTTGTGTCTGCGCGTACACTTGTACACTATAATATCTCTTGCGCAGTTAGCTAATCTCAATGAGACAAGCCGTCCTGGTCGAAATTTGCCAGGAGGATATCATTATACAAGGCGCTCGAGTATAGATACTATTAATGCATTCATATCTTACAATTAGTAGTATTATTCCATTATTGATATCCATTATTTTTTTATCTGTGATCGTGATTGCATTGACCGTGATTCAAGTTAGGTGAAGTTTTTATATACTTACTATAATAAAGTTAGTCATAAAAATGTTTTAGATTTAAGCAATTATATAATTACCGTTAGTTTCACTTTAAAAAAAATAGTATTTAAAAACATCGGAATTTAATCCAAAGTTTCATCCCCATTTTCACTTTAAGGGATGATTTCCGGTATAAAAAGTATCCTATGTCCTTCCCAAGGTCTCAAAATATCTTCTTACCAAATTCCATCTAAATCGGTTCAGTAGATCCAGAGATTTATCCCCTACAACCTCACAAACTCACAAACTTTACCACTTTATAACATTAGTATGGATATAACATTCCTTTTATGCAACACGTACATAGTTTTCCAATTAGTTTCATCCATATATTCCGAATAGGAGTCCGATCTACGACCATTTACTTTTGAGCTTGTAGTGTCTAAATATTTGCACAATATTATTATATAGTAGCATTTTTAGTTCCTTTATAAATAAAGGTTTATATTATTGTTCTGTAAAACAAATCAGTTTCTATACAATACCCGAAGGCGTCAGATCTTATCAAATTGTAAAAAAAACATCTCCATTACAACGTGGCGCTATTTAATAATAGGTAGGTGATTAAGCATAAAACGCGGCAAATTAAATAAATCATTTTATTTAACGTTGCGTCAGAAAATCCGCATATACATCAATTAGGAAAAAATGCAATAAAACCTTCACATAATAAATAAATAAATAATAATAATAAATATGTTGGGACATTAACACACAGCACCGACTAGTTACGTAGTAAGCTACGAGGCTTGTGTTATGGATACCAGATAGTTGATACACTACACGTATATAATTTTAAATACATACATATTATAAATATAAACAATCATGACTGGAGTACAAACATTCGTGCTCATTACGCGAATGAATGCCCCCACCGGGACTCGAACTCACGACCGCTGGCACAGCAAGTAGCGTCACTAAAAAGTAAGCCAAACGTGTCGTCAAACGTCTCTAGTCTACATAAACCAAAGATAACACAGGATATTATATCAATTATTAAGAAACTACATCCTTAATCAAAACCATATATTTTTTTTATGCTTTATTAAAAGCAATTCCAAGTATTATTTATCGCCTACTTCGATCATGAGGAAAACAACTCAAATCAGCGTTGCAAGAATATGAGGGCTTAATTTTCGTTTGTATATAGCACAATGGGTCATGACAGCACTCAAATATTGCAATCTATAAGCGGAAATAAAATTATGTGATTCTTTACACATATAGCGAACGTGAGTAGTAAAATCTGTATAAATACATTATAAAATTAGGAATATAGAAATTGATGTTTAAGCTTCCATTCATTAAAAAAAGAAAATCAAGAAAATTGGTTCACAATTGGCGATGATATTGCGTTGCGAAGATATGCCACAAAGACATACACACGAATTGAGCACTGCTTGTAGTTGAAGTCTTTAAAAATGATCCTAAATGCTAATATTATTTTAGCTTTTATAAAGTTCAGAATTCTAAGAGCTGTCTTTATCCATATATCGATACTAATAAATAGAGAGTCGCTTTTTTTGTTCGATTATACTGCGATAACTACTGAACTGATCAGAATAATACTCATACTATAATATGCAGCGAGTTTCGGAGAAGGTTTTAGTATATAATATGTTGGTGATTAATGTACTATGCGGGCGGAGCCGCAGGAAAACGCTAGTACATTTATATATATTATATAAACATAGATACATATTTCCTAACAATATCTCTTCGAAAAAAGGCGTGGACATGTCACCTTAAGTCAAAGAAAAGAATAAAATTCAAATATCGAAAGGTTATAAATTTTAAACAAAATTTTACTTAACGCACACTGCGTAAGGTACTTTTTTTAAACAAAACTAGTATGTACGTTTCAATTTTGTCATCGAAGCGCAATTCAACGTATTGTATTTTGAGTTTTTGTATATCAGTATTTATATATAAATTAACAAACTTATCCTCTTTAAAATAGTGTATGACGACAAAAAAATCTAAAATGCATTATATATAAGTACACTCTTGATCTCACTCAGCTAATAATATTATGGTATAAAAGAAAGATAAGATCTAATTTGACCGATTAAGAGGGTTTCAAGGACTATAGAGTTTTTGTTAGTCTGTAAATTGTGATCTATTGACAGGTTTTTTTGTCTGTGGTTATTATTTCCAAGTTTTATTTATGTTTTTTTTCTACTGTTCACTGTTGATGGCTGCAAATTTGAATGTCAAAATACCAGTAGGTACTAGTGGTCTTTTAAGCTGTTATAATATCCTTTTGACTAAATTTGGGTCATGGCTGCCAGTCTTATTAAAACCTTCGTAGAAGATACTATAATGCAAGTGCGAGTGATAGATAGATAGTCAGCTGACAGACGGACGGAAGAACAGCGGAGGCTTAGTAATAGGGTCCCGTTGGCACCCTTTGGGTACGGAACCCTAAAAACCAATTTTAACGACTTCATAGCATATTCTGACCACAAGACTCACACTCAGATATGATATTTACATACATTTTTTGTTTTCTATTGAAATATGATTATAAAATGTCAACTTGGCTAAACCCTCTGTCAAGTTTTAAAAACTTCACAGTTTGCACACATTTGCATAATTGTCTAGTTACTTGAACAAATGTCACAGTAGCTAAGTAAATGTTACGTAACGAAACGGTATCGACTATCGACACTACTCGTATTTGCGAAACGTTAACTCCTGACGGCAACCAATCGTGAGTCCTATTTATTAGTAGTCTAGATCTGCATTTAACCAATTTGAAATAAAGGGAAATTCTTCATTCACTTATTATGTTAATATATTTTTGAGAAAAAGAATTTTAAAGATCTATTTGCAATAAGAAAATCAAGTCATTTTCAATACAAAGCTGTATTAAATTATAGATTTGACGCCTCTCGTTGCACGTAATCGTATTGTCAATATCATGGTGAAGGGGTGTACAACCAGTTATTCATATATTGATATCAA